CAGCCCTCGCAGAACCTCGTGAAACCCTCGTGACCTGGTGGAACCCTGGTGGAAACCTGGTGGAACCCTGGTGGAACTGTGGTGGAACCCTCGTGGAAACTTACCTCAGGGCCGCACCGGACCACCCCGGAGCCTATCTGGGTTGAGACCCCAAAGCTTGCAGCTGTTGGGTACAAAAAAGAAAAAGCCAGACCCCAAAAGATATGGCTGTCAAATACACTACAAAATAGCCGTTCCAGAGGTCACTAAACTAAGCACATCAAATGGCGAGAAAACGTTGGTGCTGGAGGGTGCTACTGTAGGTTCCATGACACTAGAAACTACTGTAGCATCCTGGTTCCCAGCTTTTGAAGGATCCTGGTTCCCACCTTTGGACTTCTCCATGGCTTCCCTGGGCCCTCGTGCCACAAAGGTCACAAAGAGCTTCTCCTTGCTCTGGCCCCACTTGATGCGCGGCCTCGGCTCGCTCTGAATCAGGCAGACCTCAAAGCGACGGAAAAAAAAAAAACACCATGGGCATATACTGAGATGCTCAAAAACAAGAAACAAATAATGCTAAGCAACCAATAACGCGGGCATATGGCAAACACCAAAACAAGATTTGCCGGTTGGACGCAAAGAACGCATGATCAGCGAATCTTGAACATGGCCGGATTGCTTCTTGCGCACTGGTACACTGTTGAACACACTGTGCATTGAGCCTTGAGGAGGCTGACAAAGGTCAACGTCGGATTGATCTCAATGCCCAAAGATCAGGCTATGACGATATATACAGCGGACCTGTTTTGGAGGAGCAGTGTCTAGTGTCTACTTCAAGGTTGGCATGATCGGGGGCCAATCGCTGATCATTGCCAAACTCAAGTGAATCAAACGTGGCATCAACTGCATGAGCATCTTCCCAACTGTCGGGCTTCCCTCTACAATTTGCAACACTTAGAATGCATCATCAACGGCGCTAGAAACCCCCTTCCCCACATTAAGAAACAAACATTCTGTCGTGCAAGAATTTGGCAGCATGACTGGCTAACCCCTCTCATAAATACCCAAACGTGATTTGCTAAGGCGCTCGCTTTGCCTGGAACAATTGCAGCCACTACTTTACAGGCATCTACAAGGTTGGCCATGGTGCCAAAGCCCCGGAATAAAGCCGGCCGCTGTCTGCCCTCTTCAAAATGCGACTCTTGAAAACCGACCAGTTTTGAATTGCAAGAGCTATTGCCAAATAGTTGCCAAAAGCTATTTATGGGGCACCCTTTGAGGGCCAGTGCTCCCCTATAAGACTCTCTGAACGATGGCCCTGTGCAGCACGGGAAATTTGACAACTCCATGTCCTTTTTCTTTCCTGTTGCAGTCCTGGTCAGACAGGGAGAGGACCAGACCACACAGGGCCGGACCGCTTCAATCAGGGGGACCCAACGTACGCCTAAAATCCGGCTTTCCAGAAACTTGTTGACGCTCCGCTGTCAATCGGGGCGAACATAACGCTAAAGAGACACATTTTGCCATGATTCGCAACCTCATTTCTACAACTAACCCTTCCACACCGCACACATTGAATTATCGCATGGATTCAAAGCCGTCATCTGCATCTGGCTGCGGTTTTCGACTCTCAAAGGACTCCCAAACGTCGTCCAACTTCCCTAAATGATCCCAACATGGCCTTGCTGCAAAGCTTCTGCAACTTGCAGTCGCTCTTAGCAAACTTTGCAAGCAACAGCTTAAAAAAGAAAAAAATAAGAAGCTACAGAGCTTGGCTTCCACGCAGAGCGTCCTGCCAGACCCCCGACCCCATTCAAACAAATGCCAAACATGGGCATTTGGAGTGTGCGACTCGCACTTCTACAACGGCACTCAAGTGGACGAAAACAGCACCGGAATATATAGTTGCACCCTGAGGTGTGTGTCACCCTGAAATCAGCTGGCACTCATTTGTGCTGGGCACAGTGATCCCTAGGACGATTTCAACCACTTGGCCCACCTCTTAGCCATGGGCATGCAAATGATACTCTCAGAAGAGCACGATTCCATCTCAGCATTGATGGGTTTCACAACAATCTGAGCATCATCCTCACAAGTATCAGCTACCAATAAGCACACGCGATCGTGTCGGTGTGTGACGTAGGATGCAACCATAACTGTCCTTGGCCCAAAAGAACTGCTGGGCATGTTTGATGCCACCTTGAAGGTGATCGTCATGCGGAAAGGACTGCGATGCACAATTGACAAAGAAAGGAAACCGTGACACCGAATGGCATCGCCCAGCTGCCCAGCAGGTCATCCTTTGGCTTGACCACACGCTACTGCTTGAACTGGATTTGCAAGCATTGCAACGAGTTGCGTCAACAAGGGGCTTCGTGTATCACTTTCACGTTTGCTTCTTCGTATCGCACAAGCATGTCTTTATCCGTGTGTTCTGCGTCTAGGTGGCAGCATAGATGTACTGTCCCGCCTGCTGAGTTGCACACTGACTTGAGGTGGATGGATATCGCTTGACAAGAGTTGTCAATCGAAGCGCGGAACCCCCCCTGTTGACCCAACGTGCTGCGTGAGGCTGGCTCACTTTGCTCGGCGACAAAGGCCGGGCTCAATTGAAAAACACCCGGAAAGGCCTCCCGTCCTCCGCCTCAACCAGCCAGACCAGGGCCAAAAGCCTCACAGGGCCCAACAAAAATCGTCGCAGTGTTCACGGATGCGAACGGTCAAACATGCTTTAACCTCACACACACACCCCATCTGTTGTGTGCCTTCAACTTTTCGAGATGGACATCTGGCTTTCACGGCCAAATGTTCGCTAGTCAAACGCACATACCTTAGCTTGCGAAGCAAGATGCGTCCATGTTAAAGTTCCTCGGGCTTTAGCTTTCCAGCAGGCTTGAATGCCGGTCAAAGGTCCCGTGTTGCACATCTTGCCAAAATAGGCGGCTCCCAGCCTCCACATGCCCATGGCATGCGCATCCGGAATGCAAGCGCTATGCAGCGCTCAGCTGAATTGAAAGTTGTGCCGATTTCAGCAGTCGCAACATGGAAGGGCTGCTTGTTTTTGGCATGTAAATTCCCCTGTGCTAGTGAACAGTAGTGCCATCAGCTCACGTAAGCTCGTGTGTGTGTGTGCTGTTCTGTCATTGTGGCTTCCTGATATGAAACAATGTGTAAGATTTCTTGCGTATCTGTTTATCGTTGCTCAGATGGTGGGAATGACAGCAACATTGTACTTGGCATTGCTGCCGGGAAGCAAAACGTCACACACAGGCGTCGCACGTGTCCACAGCCACGCTTGCAACCACTGTCAAAAGCCATGCATTATTGTCATCTTGGTGCCAAACAAACGAGCGACACATGGGCACATTAACACTCTCCATACACACACGCCAACCAAGTAGAATCCAATTTGCTGGGCACAGCTGTTTTCATTGTGAGGCCACAGAAGCAAGCTTCAGCCCTGGTCTCTTGCAGGATGGCAACTTGCCAACTCGCATCCCCCCAAATGTTGCAGCCTGTTGTGGACAATAGCAGGTTCCACCTTGCTGACACAGCAACAATACCAACAATTTGGGAGGCCAACTGCTGACAGGCATTGTGAAGACACTCAAAAAGGAGATTGGTCCTCTCCGGAATTCCAACATCGTGGTACGAAATGCCTGGTTTCCTGTTTACCTTCAACTGATTACCCACCAAAAGCGGGGCCGCCAGCTTGAGAAACCCCATTTGGCTCGCATGGAAACGGCAGCGCGACTGGAAGACCTTGACACCAGCACTTCAAATCCAAGAATTCCCTATATCATCAAGCTACTTTCAGGCAAATTCAAGCCCTCTTTGTTAGAAAGGCACTGGTTCCAGCGGCGCATTTGCAGCATCACAGATTCTCGCAACTTTTAGCAATCAGCTGACTCAACTGTTGCTGTCGACATTTCCCAGAGCCAGTCTAAGCGAACAAGGCTAGCACATCGAGGGTCTGCGCAGTGGCAGCGATTCACCCACGCAGTCTGGAGCAGTATTTGGGCACCCGATTTCAGGGCCACTAACGACTGGGGGAAATCGTGCACGAGAGCACATGTGGCCCATTCCGCCACACCTTGCAGTCACACGCATGTGTGCTCAGTGTTGCAAAGCAAGTATCGTTGCGGCAGGATCCCCTGCATTTAAAAGCTATATACAGCAAAGCAGCTTTCAAAGGCTGCTGATTTATGTCCATCAGAACAAGCCTGGCAGGATGGCGAGTTCAATGCAGTTCGCCATACAATCGATCAGTCAATTGCCTGCCTTGGCCATCATACGTAACAATCTGTTTAACTCGAAATGAACGGCTCGGCGGTGCGAGCTAGCTGCCACTTATCCCCACTTGTCACAACATCGGGCACTCTCCAAAATCAAATGCTTTTACATGTTTTTGTACTCAAAACCATGTGATCACAAGCAACTGCTAGTAGCTCCATCTGCTGTCACCAGAACCTCTCCATGCCAAGCTCTTCAGAGTCTGCTGTCTGAGCTGCAGTGGAGTCCGCATAATATCTGTCTGTTCCCAGCGTTGCTTGAGTGTCCCAAATGAGCTACATTTAATGAGATTCGTAAGCTCCTGACTCATGGTGCTGAGACATCCTGAAATTGAGTTGATTCAATCGGACCAGGTGTGAACCAGGTTCACACAAGTGGACAACCTTCTGACACCGTGTCGTCCGTGGAAGAGAGGCTACCAAGCCAGGGATCAGCGGGCAGAGGCCCGCCAAATCTCGGCATCGAATTATCGCAAAGCGTTTGGCCAGGTGCTGAAATGAGAACCTGACAACATTAGCTCTAGTTTACATGATCCACCTGCCAAACGCTATGTAAACAAGCAAGGCCCAGCAAATGCTCCCGGGCTTCTCGAAACAGCCGCAATATCGTCTGTTGCTGACTGCTCTTCTGTACATCTCACTTTGCGAGCCATAGGGAGTTGGCTCAGCACGCTGCCAGGATTCCCCCCAGTTGGGCGTTCTGCCCTCGACCAGGGGTCGAGCCGGGTCTCATGGCTGTGAATCAACCAGCGGGATGCTCTCAATGCTGTCCTTGCTTTGACCTGAGGAAAGTGAAAGCCACATGTCCGCCCCAACACAGCGAGCACAATAAGATGGTTGCGCAATTCAACAGCGAACATGAAGCAGGACATAAACATAAACAACCGGGATTTAGAGCAAACCTGACTCACTGAACCAACCATCCTAGAATCACATGGTCTCACAAGGTTGTCCTGACTTGCCGGCCCTCGAAGCAGGAGTATGCAAGAATTGCCCATTTCTTTCTGTGCGGTGTTTTGAAGCGCGGTGTAGCATTTGTTACCGAGCCTGTCTGAAAGGAGAAGGGTAGGGTTGCTTGTGGCGCTGTAAATGCGGAGCGGTGCCGACTATACAAAAGCCCGTGCTTTATGGGCAGCAGCCGCACAGGCTCTTGCTGCGCGCCTATGTATCTCAATTGACCCACTGGCTCTTCATTCCCCGAGGAACATCATATCAACATGCTGTTGCAGGAGGCAAGTTGGGGCTGAATTACAATCGGTCAATCGCCCCCATGCACTGCAGAATCTGGTCCTTTGGCAATCACAATGAGACAGGGAAATAAGAGCAACATGCAGAACTGTGCCCAATATTGCACATGTCTCTGTCTCCTCCTTTCGCCACAGCGTCAATAATATGTTGATATTTGGGTGTGAAATTCAACTAGGGACCCTTTGGTGTACGTCATTTAGCTGAGATTTATGTCAACCAAACAGTTGGGAGTCGGGAGGGTGTCCCCTACAAATATCTTAGCCATATGTAGAATCTATATCATATTGCTTGCCAAGTTACGTCTTGAGCCGGCTGCTGTACTGTTCTCGGCACAGTCCGTAGAGCAATGGGACGCGCTCCTAAGCCAAGTGGGTTTGTCTCGAATTGGCAACCCCAACATGGGGCGGGGAATCCTTTTGCTATCCCTTTTCAGCCAAGAAAAAACGCAAAGCAGCGGGATGACGAGGACCCTGATCCCCATCCTCCCCCGATTCGATACAGACATTGTGGGCAGCGTTGAAGGCATCATCCATGACAAGCGGCACACTGTCAAGTTCAAGTTACATTAATCATAACAACCACACACATGCGGTCATATGCCCAAACAGTTTCCCCTTGCTAACAGCAACACACACACACACATACAGGGCAAAAGCAAAGACGTGTACGCGGACAAACAACACCGAAGCCTTCGACGTCAAACACTTGTGGCCATCTGTTCGCCTCAGGAAACCATGTGCTTTCATGGCGGAACAAGATCAGTGATCAAAGATAGGGACCCTTTCCGAGGACGATTTTGAAAAGATCCACAGAATACTGGTGTCAACGAGTCATACTGTGTTGCACACGTGTGATGCAACAAGATTCTGCAGGATGTAGTGCTCCCCCGACGAGTCAGAGGAAAACCAGGGTTTCTGACGAAGCTGGTTCCGCCCCCGCACAGCATTCTCTGCCTGGAGAGCCGAAGGGAGCAAACGGTTGAAGGACTCGGACAACGGCAAAAGTCAACAAAGGCAGCTTGGGACATATTACCACACTAGGTCCTCCGGTAGAGAGGTTAGAATAAGGGTACCCTTTTTTCCTGTAGTCTATTTTAGTAGGGGAACCCTCCCCCAAAAAAGGGGAAAAGGGCCCTACTGGGGGATCTAGTACACTTAAGAGTACTTGTTCCCCCAAAAGAAAAAAAGGGGGCATTTAGTGAGTCTGGTGTCTGTGGGAAAAACAGTGAGCCCCCCATGTACCGCCCAAATCAAAACGTAGGAAAACTGGTGTAAACCTCACATGTCCTATCATGCTGGACACAATGTCGCTGATTGGTCTGTTACTGCACTGCCTTGTGATGTGGCTACTCCTTGGCAGCGGCTGAACAACTGGAACGTTCCCCACGTCTTGACAATTTGCTGGTCTTCTTTCGAGTTGGCGACCTTGACAGAGAAACAGCTGGAGGTGTGGCAAGCACAAGACTTTCAGCGCGGATTCGGAGCGGCAAAGCGGATCGCCTGTGGATCTTCTGGTGGGCTGCAGGCTCTATAAAACTGTTGAAGCAGCTCATTGAAGGTGAGCGCGCCACCTGCGCGGACAGGTGAAGACAAGACGGGGCGCTGAAAGCAATTTGCAGGCTTCTATCTTGGTGAACACACCGTTTCTGAACATGAAAACGAAGGCCACCTCCAGAGCGTCAATGAAGGTCTAAACCCAGCGCCTCGCTCCAAGATCTCCACCACGTGCTTCGTGCAGAAATGTTGCTCTGCATATCGTCCGGGCTGGCAGCTGAACATCACCCAAAAATCCGCTTCGTTCTTTGTCCCCAACAAGCGTGGAAGGCATTGAAGGCGATCCTGGGAAAGAGAGCCCGGCATGTGAAGCTTGCCCGGCTTCGACGCTGCAAAAGGTTGTCTGACTCAAACTGTCTCTGTGAATCAACCTTTGTTTCTCTCAGCCAAGGAGAATCGACCTAAAGTGTGCAATCACTACAAAGCGTCAATCTCTGCCTGACCACTGTGAGTTGAACAATGCCTGCAGGGACAACATGAAACATGCCAACAAGGCCACGTTGGTTGCAAAAAACACAATTGGCATGCACCTGCAGGTTTTGTGAGTTTGGGGAAGGAAGACCATGACGAATCATGATTTGGCCAACCTACCCGTGCACTAATTACAACTTGCCTCACAGCGGGGCTAAAACGGCACAGGCTCATGATCCATTGAAGACACACACACACACACAAACGCGAAGCACACCAAACGCACGCATAGAACACACGCTACTGCATTTCTAATCATCTACAAGCGTCTGTCCCAAACATGCGATTCTCCGTGCAGCTTTAGAAGCTGTAGACGTGAGTGCTGTAAATCTTCAAGGCTCGGAATGCAAACCTATCCCTAATGACTTATAACTTATAACCAACAAAACCAAGGCGCACCCATCCACCATCGTTGCTCTGAAAGCCACATCCGCCAACCTGGCGACGAGGAAAAGGCGCCGTGCATGCGCAACACACGTATTGCAACATGACAAGCTTCGTCCCTGAATGCCTTGGAGGACAACAGGAAAGTGACAATCTGAAGGAAACCCTGCAGCTCAAAACGCCAAACACGCCGAACATCCTGAACATGGGGGCTCCAAAATTACGTTTTGCCAGTCAAACGAACATGCTCCTGCTCCGGCCTCCTTCTGCCAGGCAGCCATTCCAAATGATGGCAAAATGCGCCTGGCTGCACGGCACGTGGGAAGGCCCCAGCATCTCTGGTGCGTAGAATCCATGTAATGATACCATTCAAGCGGGGCCATCTCGTCCAGCTCATTCTGAACAGACATGCCGTAAGTAACTTAAACGTTCCAGGAGTAACAGTAGAACTAAACAAGCAAAATATGTTCCGAGATGAAGCACGAATGCACGCACGCACGCAAGCGCGCAAGCTCGAAAGCAAACACGGCAAGAAAGTAGGCAAGCAGAAAGGCAGGAATGCAGGCAGGCAGGCAGCCAGGCAAGCAACAGAACAGACATAGAAGCTTTTGAAAAGCATTAAGACGCTAAAAAAAAAAACACGCCATGCCAGTGAACCATGCAGCCATTAAAAAGAAAGCAAATACAACCAAGCGACCGATAGAGCGACCGACCGACCGGCCAACCCACCGACCCACCAACCAACCAGCCAGCCAAGTGCTTCAGTCTCATGTCATATCTGCGTAAACAGCTACTAAACATGGTGTGTAAAAAGGCAGAAGTGTTGCAAGCGCGCTACATCGCACCTCGATGCACCTCGGGCCTACTGCGCCGCGAGCGATAGCAGCAAAGCTCTGAAAGGGAACGAAACGCTTGTTCCCTCCAACCGCCCCCCCCTCTCCCATAGGCCGAGGAACAACACACGTACACCTGCTGGAAACCCTTGCGAGACGAACATATTTAGCCACCTCCAACACCAACCCACCCGAGCCTGACGAGTGCAGAGGTCTGCGCAAAAGGGTGCATGTTGCAAGATCCCCCTTTGGACCGGCAAGACAAACGTAGAGAACTGTTGCAAACAATGATTGCAAACACCGTCAAATCTCCTTAGAATGTCGCGTGCTGAAAACAGCAGATATCAGCACGCAAGGTGCAACAACTGTTGGCACAGCAAGAAAGACGCTGGAAAACTGGAGCGATCTCGCAATTCCGCTTCGAGCGTTGCGCTCAATGCAGGAGCTGTAAGTCTGAAGCAACGGCGAGCCCAGAGGTCTGTGGGTGCATAATACATTCATACACATGTGGGCTGTTCTAGATTACATTGTCTCGAAATGACAATTGTTCATACCAAAAGGAGGGAAAGTCGGAGCTTTTCAGTACCAAGCTAGTACACGAAATGCATTTCGAGCTAAGTCACAACTTTTCAGGGCCCAGATAGAACCAAAAATGCACTCCCGCAGCTGTGTGCACTTATTATAAGTGCGGTTGCGTAGTGGGGCCCAGATTCGAATGTTGCATTGAGCCTGAGCACATAGCTGGACAACCGAACGCCAGTGTCCAAAAAAGAGCTGTCCTTGTCGCCACTGCTCGCACCCTCCCGCGGAGCTCCAATAGTACCTCCCCTGCAATCAGAGCCTGCGCTTTGGTGCGGGCTTTCGCGGATCTTTCGCGAAAAGTAACCCGCGTTTCAGCCACTGACCAGAAGCAAACACGCGCACACACACACACACTTGGAGCACAAAGACCCGCCCACGCAGGGCATCAAACTGCAACCTCACCAGGCTGTAATAGGAGGAGGGTTCCACACATAACATACAGTGCTTTCACATGTCAATGACTTGGACGACAACAAATACACAGATTTCTTTAGAGAACAAACAGCTACTTTCGCACAACTCCATCCTGAGTCTTTCGTGGAGGTACCTCAAAGTACTAAACCATATATATATATATACAGAATGTATGTGTATAATATCCATATATACAAATACACACATATAACATATTCTCATCAATAATGGGCGCCCAAAACCAGGACACACCGAAGAAGCCAAGCCAGTCTGGCTTGTAAACGTCTCCACGCTAGGTGCAGCGCAGGGTCGAAGATCCGCACAAATGTTCCAAGCCACTCCTAAGGGTACTTCAAGAGGCACACCTCTGCATTCACAAACACGGAAGCGGGAACCTTATGCTGCAAAGGGATGGCGTAGACTGCTATACAGATCCGGCCAAAACACCGACGGTACCATATGGTCAGCGCAAAAACCGGCATTAAAAGACTGAACAGCGCCAAGCCTTCTTCGTATTCTCCATATTGCGGAGCTCTCGAGCAAGCTCAAAGAGGGACCAGCCTCTGGGCATCTGAGCCTCAGTTCAGTGTGTGGGCCAAGAAATGCCACTTTGGAACAAGCTCATCGTCCATGCCCTTGTGATATCCTTTGGGCGTACCTTTCCACGAGTTCTCGCATTCCGGCGGGTATGAAGCCAACTTAACATTGCCCACTGACAAGTCCATGTGTGCAAACAGTAGCATGTCCCCTCTTGAAAGCAGGCCCCAGGCTTGAAACAACTTTCATTCACCACTTGGAATGTGAAAATATATCTGCTGAATTCGCGCATGTCCAAGTTGGTGCCGCGAACCGGCCTCATCCACCAACACGATGCAGGGAACGCCCCAGATCATCTGGCTGTGGCAGGAAATGTAAATCAACACCTGGCCGGATATTGCACTGCCACAGTCACAGGCTGAACATTCCTGGTAAAGCTCCTTCATGGCTTAGCTTGTTGTTGCCAGGTAAGCTCCTTAGAGCTTGCCCAAAGTAATCGTGACAGCTAGGCTCGATTGGAGGTTGTTGTGGAAATCGAGAAACTAGATCCCGAGTCTTAATCAATCGAGCGGTTCAGCACTGCCGCTTGCGGCCCTTTGCCCGACATGCACATCCTAGGCTCCTGTTTCAAGTGCCTCTGAAAGGTACACCCCTCATCAATGCAACGTGCGGCATAGCAGGCCAGCCCCCCAAGGCGCTCGGTATTTGCGCCTCCGCGTTGAGAGTGTGGCGCAGGGCGTTTTGCAGCATCTTCAAGCATCCCTGGATGTCCCCCTTGACGAGATCATCCCAGGAAGTTAGCACCTGATACTGACAAGTTGCGCATGAACACTGCCGAATTGGTTTTGGTGGGTTCAGAGTTGCCTTCGGGTTTGTTAAGACGAGAGGGTTAGGGAAGGTCAAGAGTGGGTGAATGTCGGGTTTAGTCTTGTTTGAGGCTTGCCTCAGGGTGGGGAGGTAGGGTAGCTGCCGGGCGGGTAGGTGCCGGCCGGTAGGAACCAAAAGCCAACAAAGCTGCATAAGCCAAACGCCGGCTCACTGCTAAAATGTTACTGTCGGGCCACACAACAAGTGCAGAAACTAAGAACGATCCTTTGAACAATCTAGTCCTCCTTACCGGTTTTGCATCGCATGCAGGCTGGTATCCCTCTCATTCGCAGGCTTTCGGAGTGGACCACGTGAACGCATTATAGCATGCACACCTTGGACTGCTTGACCAATCACAGTCGCAGGCAACGCAGATCATGCAATAGATTTGACAATCCATGTTGACAAACAACGAGAGAACCGCACCTGCGTTCACGCGGTCGACTCCATTCAACTTTGAAAGCCTGTGAAGGAGGCTACATGAGAGGGATATCAACCTGCATGCAACGCATCTGCTTTAGTCGCTCGATGTTGCCCTAAATGCTTGGGTGTTGCAAGCTCGGAGGGCTTGCAAACCCGGACAGCTCGCTGCCAAGAAGCTCGTATAAGCTTGTTGTCACAGTAAAAGCGCATTGAACTCTTTCCAGGTTCGAAGTCATTAACCAACAAACTCAAACTGCGCGCACAAAACATATTCTTGGCACGAGCGATTGGCTAGGATGTTCATCAGAGCGCGGTTGTGTGAAATCTGAATCTGGTGGCATTGTCTCTTGCCAATCTGACATTGCATCAACATCTTGCCCTCATCTATTTGAGCTCGGCCGTGAACAACACGCATGTAATGGGATTGCAGCTACAAGTAGGAGACAACTTGGTATGGACAGACGCCCTGATTCCTATTCTGAGAGTGGAATGTAGAATTCAAGCGGAGCGTTTTGCACAATCCAGGCGCCTCCCAGCCATCCGCACGCAAGATCTGCCGCAATCTTTTCATGTAGTAGTCCGGCACTGCTGTCAAGAACATGTACTCCTGCAGGCTTAGCCCAAGATGGCTCTCTGTGTTCGTCTATCTCTATCTCTTTATCTTTATTGTTATCTTTTCTTTATATTTTCCTCTGTTTTGCAACATCTGCATACATATATATATAGAGTGTCATTATGATTACTATGGTTTCCTATTGTGATTAGTATTGCACACATGCAAAAATAACATATCATACGTTTGTCACGTCTTATACGTGCGTGTCTCTTCCTCGTTCACTCCATTTATTTCAATCGCTCCCTCTCCCTCTCCCGCTCTCTCTCTCTCTCTCTCTTCCTACCTCTTACTCTCTCTCTCCCTCTCGCTTTCTCTTATTCTCACCCTCTTTCTCTCGATCATGATATGTTTTGTCTCGTCATCTTTCTCGCTTGCTCTCTCTCTCTCGCAATCTCTGTCTCACTCTCTCTCTCTCTCTCTCTCCAGCATCTGCTTTAGCTTAGTTGTTGTTCTTTTTTTTCTCTCTCTCTCTCTCTCTCTCTCTCGCAATGTCTTTCTCTTTCACTCTCACCAGTCTCTCTCTCTCTCTCTCTGTTTATTATTGTCGTTTTGTTCTCTGCGTCTTTATGTGTGTCTTTGTGTTTATCTTTTACTATCCCTCTCTCTCTCTCTCGATCTCTCCCGATCTCTCCTTCACATTGTCTATCTCTGCTCCCTCTCCCGCTCTCGCCATGCTTCAGCATTTGGCATTCATCAAAGAAGCAAGTTGTATGTTGAATGTTTGCGTGGCGCCTGGAAGAGTGTTCACTCATCAGTGCAGGCTGGGCAACAGTTTCAAATATTGAGACCTCTATTCATTCGAGGCGGGCATCACCACAAATTGGAACAAGCGGGCAGGCAGCCACACAAAGTGCCTATGAAGGCAACACCATCTCAACCACCCCAAACAAAAGAACACATCCGACCACCAAGACACCAAACAAACAAACAAGCAAGCACACACAAGCAAGCAAGCAAGCAAGCAAGCAAGCAAGTAAGCAAGCAAGCAAACAAGCAAACAAACGCGCAAACAAAGCAAACACACCAACAAACAAACAAACAAACAAACAAACAAACAAACAAACACACAAACACACAACACACACACAACACACACAAACAAGCAAGCAAGCAAGCAAGCAAGCAAGCAAGCAAACAAACAAACAAACACGCAACACACGCAACACACAAACACACAAACCAACAAATCAAACAACCAAGCAACCAAGCCACAAGCAGCCAAGCAGCCAAGCAGCCAAGCAACCAACCAAACGAAACAAACAACACAAACCACCCAGATTCTAGAACAAAACTACGACAGGTTCGGTCCTTGATGTGTATAGTAACAACAATACGCTTCCCTTCTTGTAATGGCACTGCATCACGACGCTTCTGCCAGGGCGGGCGAAGCCAGAGCTTGCGGCCTCAGGTTGCCATCATGAAATCCCGATCACAAAACCCTAAACGCATCGAAACCTGTGCTGAAATGACAACACGGTGCACAAGATTGACACTTGCAAAGAAGGCGGGGGACTCAGCCGGGAGACGATTTGGGTCCGAGACGCCAAGTATCCTCGATCCCATAACTAGCCATGCTAAATCATTGTCTTGCGCGGCAAACATGCCAATCCCGAAAGCAAATCACAAGTCCAGCGTGGGCCGTTCTTCAAGGCCCACGCACCAAGTGCTGAGTGCCGGCCAGAAACCACTGGCTGCGCGGGCCACGACAAAGCCCACCAAGCAGTTTGCCAGGGTCCAAACGCAGGCTTCCCAGCGGGGGCTGCCCGGCTGCAATATTGCGAGCAGCAGAATGCCAGAGTACGACCTGAGTCTTGCCCGAACTGAGCCTACCCGAAGGCCCGCAATCGATGGCTTTGGAAGGGAGCTGGAATCCGACAGTGCGACCGACTTGTAGCTTCGGGACACAACCTGCAATCAGAAATGATGAAAACCGGAAGACTGCATCTTGCACGAGCTCACCAGGCGTGTGGTTTGCAACAGTTGCTCAGTCTGCACCCCACGAATGAATTATAAGCTTAAGTGTCGTTGCATGTGCATCCTTTGGAAACTGTAATGGCTATGGAACACACATCTGCGCGCCACGTCATTCCATTTTCTGCCGGCTCGGCACTGCTTTCTCGCATCAGCCTCCAGCCTTCAACTTGGCACCTAAATCCCCATTTTTGTTTCGCAAGTTGCACCTGTTCAGCATTCACGACATGGCTGAAACACGGGGACTTTGCTGAAAACGCATATTCACATCTCAACAGTCTAACATGCCCCAATGGCTTTGGACAAACTGGCATAACGGGAGTCAAACAAGGGCTGCCAACAAAGCGTGCAAGGTGGGGACGCTGGCTGCTGGCTGAGGCTTTGCGTCCAACTAAGAGTCATGCCTACGAAACCTTCACACGCAAAACTCCATGTTCGATCCCAACAAGCACAACCTGTAACTAGTAACTTAGTGACTAGTGATTACCTGTGAAAACATCAATGCCAAAGCTGCATCCTTGCTGCAAGCAACAAACAACTCACCCGCGCAGCTTGCCACAGCAGCACTAGCAAGATTGAAAAGAAACACACAGAGTATACAACAAGTCTACTTGGTTTTTTGTGCTTCAATGTTGGAGGTCGACTGGTTTGAGGAACCAGCACTTTAGCAAGGTCAAGAACCCGTAGACGTTTGGCTCTACTAAACTGTTTCAGAATTCCCTCACTGCAATCCCCAGCAAGCTAGTGGTGGAGCTCTAAATGGACAACAGGGCTTTGGGCGCTGCTTTGAAGATGAGCGGCGCGATGGCAAATGTCACCCACATCTGGCACTTACGACGCTTGCCGGCACGGAAGCTGCACCATTGGAAGGCGATTGCGGCAAGGAGGAGCAGCACGCTGCCAATGAACGGCCTTTGGTGCGCCGAGCATCTGTCGACCAAGCAAGCTCCTTGCAAGATTCGGGGAAATATGAAACACGGGTTTTGCAAACATGTGCAAAAGGGATACATTCCAATTGGTGCCTCAAATAGTTCCAACCATAATGTGGATCACTACATGACCATGCATGACTTTGACGACACACAGCATCTTTGCTGAAGGTCCAAGCTGCTCGTCTTCAAGATACAAAGGATGTGACATGACCAATCAAGAAGTCGCTCGAGGCACTTTCAGATAATAGCAGCTGAACAGAAATGCGCAAATGGCGACGGCGCCTTACCTATGCCTATTCCGCACAAAACGAGCCACGCGACCTTTTAAGGGATTCGACCCGACCCGCAGCACGCTGCTTTTCTTGAGCCAAATGACAACTGCAAAACAGTTTCATGGCTAGGGCCTCGAGGGCCCCATGGCACGGCGATTCCTTGGGCTGTGTTTACGGCCTCGTGCAATGTGAGTGGGCGGCACATGAAAGGCTTTCCTCACTACTCGCGCCATCCGGCAGCGTGTGCACTGAACCGTTGCTCTCTCTTTCTCATTGCTAGCGCAGCACAGGTTAAATCTCACGACACTGCGGATCAAGTGCAACTGCATTGGTTCCATTGATCTTGTCAGCGCCGAGGTCTCGATGCCCAAGAGGCCAAGTGCTCTGGCCCATCCAGGTTGCTCCACAGCTCAGTGAACACATCTGCAACCGGATCTTCGGTTTTGACGCGCTTGAGACTTGAGAGTGCATCCTGGTTCATTAATGACCTGCAAGGGTGACCCTAAATTGATTTTGTGGGTTCTAGTCATGTGCCTGTGCTCCTGTCCGTATCTGGCTCTTGCCCCCTTCTCTGTTGCCTCATTCTCTTCGTGGAATAGTATATCCGTCTCACGCTCTAACACCTGAGGCCAGAGTCCCTAAGCATCCGCTATTGAAAAAATCAATCGCTATTGAATTAATTGTTCAATCGAGTTTTGTTTTTGATTTCTTCAATGCAAATCAGTCCGTTCCAATCGTTTCTGCAATAGTGTTTTCAATCGTGTTGAATTTTCAATAGCAATTTCAATAGAAATTTCAATAGAAAGTTCAATAGAAATTTCAGCATGTTTCAATCGTTTTTCAACCGTTTTTCCATGATGTCTCGAAATACAATAAATCACAGTTTTCAATAAAACCACAATATATTTTTACATGTAGAATGTCATGAAAAACACTACACATCTGTCACATCTAGACTCACATTAATGACAGACAAGTTAATGAGAAACAGCGCACAATTTATGAGACAGAAACCACAATGAAAATAGAAAAACATTAGGCGTATCACATGTCAAAGCAAATTTATGCAAAATTCAAAGCACTCAGCATGCCAAATCATCTAACATTTGCAACTAACCGAACCCCAACGTTATAGATGCTTTTCGTCATACACTTTTACAGTCTTTAGTTGTGGATGGTGCTTAGACATTGACAAACACATTTTCTAAGCAAATAATGAAATGTTTTGAGCTGCAAATTATGCTTTAGCCCTGTGCGCAATGATAGTTTGCTGGTTGGTTGCCCAGCCAGCCAATAGGTGTTCATATCTTTCTCTAGGGCAGCCCATCCACTGATATTTCTCTTGGGCTGTCCAACCACAACTACATTCCTTGCCCAATATTCCGAACCAGTGCCCTGCCGTTTGTCCTTTTTGCTCTCTGTGCGCACATGTCCAAAATTTTGCACGTGGACTTCTGCTTGGACATTTTTCTATTCTTCTTCCCGAAAAAATTAGGCCCTGCGCACACCTATGCTTGGTGATGACTCTCTCCCCGGCACTTTGTACCCTGGAGTGCCATATGCACAGGAAGCAGCTAATCTCACACAGAGACCCATGAAACTCTTGCTGCCATAGCACCAGTAGTGCCTGGGAGCCAATCCTTTTGCCATCTCTGGCAAATGCGCTAGCAAGTGGTGCTTCTGCACAACTGAGTAATTAAGTTTCTTCTCTTTCATCGCATTCTTGGCCAGCCAGCCATAGTTCACAAGAAAACTTGAAATTTCATTTTTAACAATCATCTCTTTGCTGGCTGGTAAACACAAACTGTCTCAAGTCCAGAAAACCGTATATCTGGGCGAGTGCTTTGCAAGCAGCAAGCTTGTGTTCTCCAGCCCTATTGGTTCAATATCTTTCTCGGCTACCTGTGCAAAGTGCCTGATTCTTCTTCACTTGTGGTGCTTCAGGCATGGACATTCTTCCTCCTTGGTTTTTGATGCCACTTTTTTGGTGCACTCTTTTGATTCTCTTGCCAGCTGGCATCATCAAGTCTTCATAAACTCTTGCAATCTCTAAATTCAAAAGTTCAAGCGCTTTCTTTTTGCCTTGTGGCCTCTGCAGTTGTATCTCGTCCAGCAGGTTCCCATACAGGTGCGCGCTGGTGCCCAAATCCAAAGTGCGCAGGCAGTCTAGCATGATGCTCCAGGCATTCAGCTCAGAGACTCTCAGAAGTGGGTGGTCAACTCCAACTCTTCTGGGCTGGTCAATGAGCTCCTGCACAAAGCTGAAGTCATTGAAGGGCTTCTCATCATGCCTTAGTCTAGCAAAACTATGAGCACATAATGCACCACAATGCTCCCTTTACTCACCTCACTCGCTTGACTACAACACCACTTGCACAAAGTCAATACACTGTCCAACTTAAGCAAACAGTTTGCATTGCATCTTCTGCAAGCAAGGTTCCTATCTGCGTCGCGCCATGGGGGTTTGACCTTTTTATGCCTGGAGAAGCCAAACTCATCATAGAACCAGTCCAAATCCCCAGTGGCACTGTAAATAATGTAAGTAACACAGCGGTTGTCCTGCTAGCCTTCCTCTCTCTCCTGTAAGCAAATTGCCATCAGGATCAGTTTCTGGGAATGTACCTTCTGCTAAACTCTCAAAAGACCAGCACAAAGCTTTCCAAATAGGGTTTCACGTGGCTGTAGTTTTGCAGAGTTTGGGCAACACTGCCAGCAAAAGCTGGCTACGTCCAACATCTGTCTCTGTAAGCTGGGCCCTCATGCTCAAAACTTGCAAGCTGTCTGTCTCTGTGTGAGGAACATCTCCATGAAACGCAAAAGGTGTCACACTTCTAATGTCCTCTCTGTCAGAAAAAAGTCAGTGTCTATGGCTGTTCGTGGGTGCCCTGCTCCAAAGCTGTGTCCCAAAATTGCACTCTTTGTCTATGCCGAGGATTGGCTGCTCCATATCGCAGTGCTCAACAGCATGTACCCATTCATGTCGCAAAAGCAAAGGAATTTCTGCAATCTTCTCAGTGATGGCTCCTGCATCTTCTCTGCACCGAATCTGTGTCTTCACCATCCAGGCAATGTTCTCGCTGCCTGAATTTTTGGCAGCAGCCGCTATCTCTTGAAGACTGGTTGCGCTAGGTTCTCCCACTGACCACTTTTTGATCAGGAGAAGAGCCACTGCGCTATTAATGGCTCCATCATTCTGCTCCACATGACCTTCGAGCAAAGAGGAGCTGCATAGAGTATGAATGATGACAGACGATTGAAGGCAAACAGCTTATGTTCTTCTGCAAAAACAAAAGTCCTACGGTGGGCCTCCAAGCTTGCCATAATATGTGTTATAACCAAACTTAAATTAACAAACATGCCACCTCGTGTGTTTTGCTCAGGGATATCCAGCCCGCTATAACATTTCTGTAGGGTTTTCCAGCCCAGCAATAACCATCTCAGCCCGTGCCTGCTTCCTGGCAAAGTCCTTCAGTCTTTCTCCCTTCAGGAACAGCTTTTTCTTCCCTTCCAGGATTGCCTTGTGCCAGGCTGGAGATATTCTTCTTGTCCATCTTGAAGGCCTTTGTCTTTCTTGGCTGCAGGTCTCTTCACCTTTGTGGCTGGCGTCTTTGCAGGTGACTTCTGCAGCTTCTTCTTGAGATCCTCTTTTCTTGCTGGTGGAGGCGATGCCTCCTCTGCGCTGCATGCTAAACTGTCTTGGGTGAGCTGTGGCGCTCCATCTCGTTGGTCCTTGCTTTTTGTCATCCTTCTTCTTTTCGGTGAAAAACCAAGCCTTAAAAGCGCATCATCTTTTGCATGTTCTTCCTGTGACTTCTTTTCATCCTTGGGCTTGTCCTCCTTCCGACTTGCTGAGTTTGGGCTAGTCTCTCTAGCCTTGTTGGAATTTCTTCTCATCTTTCAGCCTTCTGTCTGAGCCATATCTCCTGAGCAAGATTCTTTGACACCTACTCTCTGGATGTATTTCTCCATGGTGTCCTGCCAACCTCATCTGTTGGTTGCCTCCTTGGTCCTCCTCTCTTTTTTTCTTGACTTCTCAGCATAGTTCTTTGTCTTTCTGGGTTTGTGGGCATCAGTCTATGGTTCTCTACAGGCTTGGTCTATCTTTGCAGGGCTGTTTCAAGCTCTCTTGGGCCGAGCGCCCACTGCTCCTGACGTGTGAATCTTTAGGACTGTCCAAACTCCCTGATCCCCAAACACTGTTGGTGGCTATAGTTTGCACCCCTTCTCTGGGGCTGTCCATCCAGCCCATCAACTCATAAACCCGTGGCTACAAAGCATGTTTTAATTTGTTTCTCAGGGCACTACAGCTTGAACTGCTCTCTGAACTATTTTCTACTTCTATGTGTGGCATGCATGAATTCTGGCCTTCTTTGTGAACCTGATGGTCCTCTATCAGCTCCAGGTTAGAGCTCGCTTTTCCAGCTTTGACCTGCAAGGCTTCTTCTTCTTCATTATCATCTTCCTCACTGAAACGCCAGCCAACGTCTTTCTCTGCGATGTGGCAGGTCATCCTTCTCACAGCTCAAGTCACCTGCCAGAAGGTTGGAAAGATCATCTTCTTCCATATGGTTTCGCACAGGCCCCGAAAGTGTACAAATAGCTGCAGTGCGCATCAGACATGTCGGGCTTACCAGCACATCCACTAAACACAAGCACAACATGCAAGACATGTAAGTCATGTTTTTCTACTGCTACCCAGCCGGGGCCCACCCAACTTTGTAAATATTTTCTAGGGCTACCCAGGCCACCCAAAAACGCACAATTGAACATGTTTCAGCCAACAAAAACAATAGACATTTCAATCGTTTTCAATATGTTTCATTCGTTTTGTTTCAAAATTACAACAAACAATCAATCGTTTTTCAATCGCAAAAAACATGGCTCTATTAAAATGTCAGCTGTTTCAATACAAAACTGAAACTTCAATCGTCCATTGAAAGGTCTCTTCCATAGAACCGTCGAAATTTTTCAATCGCGGATGCTTTGGGGTGCTGCCATCGGGATGGCCTCGGAGAGCACTCCTAGAGCCATTGCAGCAACCTCTGCTTCTGTGTGCTCGATCTAGATGTTGCAGTCTGCTTCTTCGAGGTCCAGCTCAGCGGCCAAACTCTGTTGGGACTGCGCAGCTGTACCCACACACCAATGGTGCTGTGTGTGTGTGTTACAAATTGCTCTACAGTCATCTCCGACGTATCCGACTTTGTTACTCAAGACATGAGTCTATGGAGCATCCTGTCACAGGCTTTACACCGCTGGCTCAGAAAAGTTGCTAAGTGTGTGATTGCCTTCAGGATGTCAAACCGCCCCAGCCTTGCTCCAAATAGAAGTTTCAGAATGAGCAAGCATCCGGATTTGTGGGGCTTTTCGGCAGAAACGGCGTGTTGGCTTTGAGGGACACTTCAACTGATAAACGCCCTCACAGTCCCCAACACTCACGCTTTGATGGTGGTTGCCAAGATTTTACCTAAGCCCCCAATGTCTTCTAGCTCTTCCCAGAAGTCTGCACATGACTCTACCCTTCCCGATAACGAAAGGTTGTCCACGTGTACTGTCAGCAGGAGATTTCGATCTTCGAAGACGTATGAAGATGAATGTCTTTCTACAGGTTCTCCTCCAAGGAAATCTAGCTCAAGTACCTGGCCCCATGCGCTCAGGACTCGGGATGTCCACAGAGACTTTTGAAGAGTTCGCCAAAGGCTTCTGGTAAACTGTGTTGAGGCTCCAAGTATGCTTGCTGGTTCAAACCGTCAAATGATTTTCTGACAGCTTGCGCAGCTGGGTCCTTCTTTTGCTCCCCTATGTGTGTTCCTAGTTTACATTCATAAACTGGAGCCGCCTCACATAAGAATCTTATCTTAGAGGTGTATGAGAGGTCCCGAAACCGGCCACAACTTCTGCCAGAAACCTGCCTGCAGATGTGAAGGTCTGCGTGGCCAGGGATAGAAATCAACTGCGATGTGAGACTGGTTGCAGCTGCGGCCCCTTTACTGCCAACATGGATGTCAAGCTGCTGACAAGCTCGATCCAAAAGGCACCTACTTCATGTGCTGCTCTGCACCGATCTCACTCGGCGGCAGTCATAGCAGCGCTGCCCTGCTGGTGGGCCGCGTGTCAAAACGCGTCCCACCAGCTTCAGGAGTAAGAGACGACCTGGAACGACTACTTCTTCAACGAGCTGGCAGTCAGGCTGTCCAGGGCTGCTTCAGCGCGAGCCTTTTCCATGCCTGGGTGTCTGCGTGACGTCCACACAGCTTCGAAGCACCCGCGAAGCTCGCGCAAAGCTTCCAGGCTAGGTGATGAGGACAATGTACGACATTGGGAAAGTGCCCAAACATTCTACTCCCACAAATTAACATGGAAGCAGACAGGGGGAGTTGGGCAAAAGCATGCCCCCAAGGCCAACTTGGCGCAACAACTGTCCTCCGATCCCGTGAGCGCGGGTGAAACGCTAGAGGGAAGGAAAATGGTAGTTCTGCGCCCGCTGTTGGCATTGCCTTCTGAAGATGTCGTATTGATTGGTAGAGTCTTGGCAAATTGCAGAACGCACCAGTGTTCACAAGGGGGCGTGCTAAGCGTGCCAGAGCATAGCAGCTGACAATAAGAATGCAAATGGCAATGCCGCCTTACCTATATGCCTATTCCGCACAAACACCCCCAACCAGAAGATTCAAACAACACGAACCACGGGACCTTTTCAGGCCTCGAGGCCTATGGCATGGCGATTCCTTGGGCTGCCTGTGACTGCAGACTTATGTATAGCACCGGGGTTAGATGTTATTCTTCTGTTTGCGACACAACATGTGCAAAAGGGATACATTCCAATTGGTGCCTCAAATAGTTCCAACCATAATGTGGATCACTACATGACCACCCGTGACTCTGACGACACACATCATCTTTGCACCACGCCTTTCCGCAGTCAAGGTGCCAAATTGTGCATGCGGGGTAGCAGGTCTTCGGCTCATTCTCGAGGCAACACGGCGAATCCTGTGCACGGTGCACGCTTCGTATGACATCCGACCGCACTCCCTCGCTATGGGATTGAACAATACCTTGTACAAGAGTTGCTGGCACGGATAACCTGTCAGTGTGGAACAATCACTAATTGGACTTGGGGCAAGGCAAGGTGCGCGGGACCCAAATCATGGGAACATGCCCCCATTAAGGGGTTATAGTCTTATCGAATCACCCTCCACACTCCCAGTCAAAAACACGGCAGACAGCTGAGGCCCTGTACACCGGGTGGCACGGACACCGCACTCTTATGACGTGGTCCGTTTGTTCCCTTACTTGCATTCGCTGTTGAATCAAGACCCCGTGCCAATCCCAAGAGTGCAAAAGCCAACTTGCGAGCTCTGCTAGAGACAATCGCAATATATTCATTTCTGATTCAATTCACCACGGATCACAGCTCCTCGCACTAACTCAGCATTCACCGTACTGAATCTTAAGGAAAGCCAGGGAAAGACACTCGTGTGCATCAGAACGCTTATAGACAGCACACACACACAAATCACAGCTCAACTGCATAACCAATGCAATGAACAAACATGAGCAGCAAGCGCAAGACTTGAGTGAGGATGAGTCAAGCGCATGGCTTCTGCCCTGCGATGACTTCACTAAACATGTAGGGCTATGGTCCTGGTCTTAGAAGAGAAAACAAAGAAAGGCCAGCATGGCATGCCCCAGGAACCTCAAGTAGATACATGTTGATACTGTTCTTTGAGCCGCACTTGCTTCTGACAAGTCGTTTGAACAACGACACACTGACCCTGTCAACAAGCGCTGGCTGGCGAAACAAAACACACAAAACATCGTACCTCCTAACGCAAAGACCATGTCTAGCTTTGGAGCCCAGCGGCCATCTATTTGACAAGCGCTGCTCACATGTCCAACGCGCTCCACGATGGGTACCTGTTGGAAGTGGAAACCTTTGCGTGCCCCGTTCACAAAAATCAAGCCAGCGTCAAAACTCTTATCTTTTGCAGCACGCGCAAGCTGAACGAAGCCTAGGTCTGCAGAACTTGACGTGATTGAGGGACCGCTTACAAAAAGAAACAACTTGTGAGCATTCGTGAGCAGATAAGCTGGGTTGAGAGGCTGGGAAGTGCCAACTTTGCCAAGGGGCTCCATACAGTCCAAAGCGAAGAAATCCGCAGGTGCGGCCCAGGTTGACACAGCAGCCGCCGGAGCCCTCCGAGCGGACATCTGAGTGCGTTCATGGGCTTGGACATCTTCGCTTTAGTGCTGGATATACTCGTTAACCCAAAGGGGCGAGTGGAAGACACATAGAGGGAGCAGTGGCTGACTCAACACTCAAGTAGCGACACATGCAGCTTCTCACGATGGCTGAAATTGTAGCCATGCGACATATCTCCAAAGTGCGGTTGACAAGCTCCACCAAACAAGCACATCTGTAGACCATGGAGCCAACGAACAAATATGGCCTTTCTTTCTGGCGGCACGATTCCAAGGAGCCTGCCCATGCCTTTGCTGCAAGCTACATACGAGTGCATGCATCGTCTCATGTGTGGACACCTTGCGTGACCTCGCCCCTTTCCCACTCACATCCTCACTCAGCACCTGCCGGGGTGCACAGCACGGATCGCCGGAGAGAGATATGCCACACTCGCTGACCTGAGCTGATGAGCTGAGCATAGAAATGCGCTGTATGCGCCAAGGGTTGGAACTGTCATTTGTAAACTTGCAACATCTTGCAGACCCTTGTAGATACCACGTGTTTCTGCACCATGTCCGATTTGTGCATGGAAATGCTTGGTTGACTATAGACCTTCAGGTCGCTTCACTTAGAAGCCTGAAGCTCCCAAGCTCAAGAAAAACACGGTCAACTGAAAAACCAAAGGGTCGCATTGGCTGAGATCCCACAACGATGGAACCTGAGAGGCACTTACTTAACGACACTTGGCTGTGGGTCGAACAAATGTACCCAAAATGGCCCCTGGGTAAATGGAAAAAAAGGGGCCAAAACCTGCATAACCCCTGCTCTTAAATTTTGAGCCACACCCACTTCTTGTAAGATTGCTGCTCGATTCAGGTATGACCCGCAGAGCCCAGCCTGACCGTCGCAGCATTGAGGCCGTTGCCCGTGACAGGCAAGCGCCTGAAAGGGCCTAGGGTGGAGACAGCGCCCTTTCCGGATGACAAGAGCTTGTCAACGTTTCCGAGTCATCATCTGGTGAGGAATTGATCCTATGGGAATTCCAACAACCTGGACCTCAACCATGAACCAGGTCAGTGAGGTCACTATCATTCGTACAAAAAACAAAACGAGCCTGTGAAGATTATCAAAGATCGGCATACTCTCCCTCCACGCAACTCTCCCCACCTGGGGCAGCAAAGGACGTCGCAGTAGGGATCCTTCCCCTTGGTTTCGCGGACGTCAGTCACAAAGTGAACCCAGCAGGACCAGTCGTGGTGGTCGTTCTCGATCATCTGCCCAGGACTTCACAGCACACACAGCACTCAACTTTGGCCTGCTGTGGCCAAGCCTTCTGAGGACCTACAAGTGCGTATTAACTTGGTTGCTGTTGACTCCTTTGGAAACAGCTTAACTTTCTTTGGGTTTCGTGGCAAACCTCTTGAGTTCCCAACAAGTCAAAGTCTAAAGATCCAACCCAATAGCGGTCAAGATTAAAAGGCTGCATGTTCAAGCACCAATAATTTGAAAAGGAGTTCGAAGTGGGAATGCTGGCCGGGCGTGACTGTGGTGAACATCTCAGGAAACAATCGACCGATAGTGGCTCGTCCGATTCCATCAATTCCAACCAATCGCATGAATGATTCAGGGTAGGTTCACAATCCTGCTTGATCCGAGCACAAGCAAATATCCAGTGGATGTCGGGGCACAAGTACTTGATACTTGATACACGCAAAGTGACATAGCTTTCAGAGAAACATAGATGGGGTGGACACAACACAGACACCTATGTGGACCCTTTTAGCACTTCAAGGCGATGTATGACCCTCCCGACTTGTTGATACCCCAGCTTCCAGTTCTCATTGTTTTAGAGCAAGACCTCGCAGGGCTAAAGATGTTCATGCACCACTCCCGCACTTGCGCTTCCCAAACGGTGTGCTCCCTCCTAAACTGTTACAAACGTGTTCGTATCAAAAGCGGGACCTCCACCCTGCAAACCCCTCCCTTCTGCTTTGCAGCGGAAATACACGCTAGCCTTGGCACCCGTTGATCACTCGTGCGCTAACATCGCTCGGGGAACGGTTGCAGCATGCACTCCTTGCAATGTCACACAATTGGCAGAAATCCCCTGAGCATAGTGCTGGTCCTTTGATACAACACCACACCGGATAAGAAGAAACACGTGACCTTTGCCACAACATGCACTAAAGGCGTAGACCCTTCCTGCCTCCACCGGGGTGCTGTTGCGATCGCAGCAGCAGCCGCCCCAAACATGCTGCGTGCTGAAGTCTTTTCCTGGGTCAGAGCTCCAGGCACAACCGAAACACGAGAAGTCTGTAGCATTACCATGGCGCAGGAGCCGCCCCCGACAAAATGCACGGATTGCAAAGGTCCCTCACTTCAGGTCCGGGGCTTGAACAAACCTCGGGCGGCGCAAACAGCAATCACTGCGGAAAGCTTACAAGGAACACGAACACAAAGGAACGCCCGAGGAATCCCGAGGACGTGAAGAGAAGACAGAAAGGCAATAACAAACACGCCCCTGCCAGCAAAGACTGGGAGGCATCAATTGTTGCAGTGTAATAAGCGCCAAACACGCAGTAGCTAGCTTTCCACCACATGTCCTGCTTGCTGTGGGCTTGAGGAATAAGGCCGTGGCTTTCAAACATTTTGTTGATCGGGCACAGAAGGCTACTTTATATTCGCTAAAAGTGATTCAGTGAGAACCTACGACAAATCGAAATCAAGACATCAACACCTGGTTGCCTGTTTGAATGGGCTTGTGAGGAACATCCAACGTCAACCACTTCTCCCGAAGACGTAGTGATGCAGACTAAATTAACACTGCTAATCAACACCCTGGACCTCCCCATAAGGCCCATGTTCCCACTCTGGATTGGCCTGTGGAATTCCTGGGCCGTCCTGGGCCCTGGGCTGGGTTGAGCAAAACATAGCAAAGCTTCACCCCCCTCGCCCAATCTTGGCAGTCGGCAAGCTACAACGGCCGCAGCTCCGTAGCAACCCAGCCCGGTTGCAAAGTCTGTTAATGGCCACGTGCTCATTGCTGCAAACTATGCCGAGCCGCGCATGAAGCACTTCGAGGTGTTTGGGCAGTTGCCATTCTGCGGGCCGCGGCAGAAGTCCATGTCACTCACATCTTGCGTCACACAATGGAAGCGGATGTCCTGAGTGCCACATGCAAACGCCGAGTTCAGCCACGGCGGGCACTTACAAGAGCCTTGGTCCATAGGGTTGTCTTAAAATCAGGGCTCCGTGTGGTTATTCTTGCCCTATCGACGGCCACAAAACGCAAATTGGAGCTTCCGTGTGCTGTTGGTCTCGTCCTGTTGCTTTCGCGCCCTATTGCATATCTGCCACTTGGGATCAAGCCAGCAGGCTGATGTAGATGTCTCATGCGTAGTCAAGACTGGCATCCCCTCCGAATGGTTGGTTTCGGGATGGCTTAAAGACACATCCCCATGGCCTTGTTGACGAGAGGTTTGGTTGAAACTCACTGGGTACCATCGAGAGTTTTCTGGGTACCGTCACTGGTGTGTTGTGCCTTGGCCAGTGATTGCTTTGCGACATCCAGCTGTAGAGCCCCAACCATTGCCTCCGCATAGAATGAAGGACAGCCACGCGTAATGGATCCGTTTGAATCGAATCAAGTCCATTCAGCAACAATATATTGATTGAGAGCTGCGAAAGATCCCGTGTAGTCAAAGGCTGTGAGGTTCCTAGTGTTACCAGTCATGAGAGGTGCTTGCCCACCAAAACCAACATCTTTGGGTCCATAGCGAGCCTAACATGAGCTTGGCTCCGATCCCAGGCTGGAGCTGCTTCCAGGGCACCCAGTCCAGCGGCGAGTCGCCAGCAACGGGTAGAGCAAGGATGCAGCCAAAGAACACGAGCATCCCAGGCATCCCAGGCATCCCCAAGCCGCCCCGGCAACGCTCTCTCGAGCAAAATCTCGGCGATTGCGGCAATAGCCATCAGCTGCCGAGAAAGGTGTGGCAACCAATCCGAATCCAAAGCATCCAAACCCACATTTCGATCCCATGGAAGAAGTACTGGTTGCTGGGTTCTCCAAGACAGCCTTGAAGCGGCCAAGGGCCACGAGCAAGCCATCTATGTGCCTTTCATGCATAGGCCAATCTCAAGCCTTGGGTGCTCAAGCAGTCACAGCTGGAGCAAGCTTTGGTGTCGTGGTGTGTTCGCGTAAACATCATCCTATGATGGGAAACACATCTTGCCTGGACGCGAGCACTTTCCATTCAGAAGTGGCAGTGAGAATCTCAAACGGTGTCAGTAGGTAATCTTATTCTTCGTTCTCGGGCCTATACTGAAAAAAGAGACAGAACTAAGGTGTCTCGCTTGATCCCTCCAAGGCTGGGAAGACCTGGTCGTGGTCGGTTTGCAACAAGTCAATCAAGAGATACGCAAAACAAAGACTAGCAGAAAGGTCACACCCCCGGAGAAGCAACGCCCTCATAAAACATAGATTCCAAATGGATCCCTAATCTGGCGTTCGCGTCCATCATTGTTGCAACTCATGTTTTCTGGCTGTTTTAATGGTCAATTCAGCGAAAATGTTGGCAAACAGTCTGGAAAATGAGATGGGACACAAAAGTTGCTCATCCCTCTGACTTTAGCGTATGTTTGTTAGTCTTCGTCACAGGATATAGATGACAATCGTGTTCCCATGGAGCGGACATTGCATGGACTCCTGTATGCCTGGTTCCACAGTTCCCACCTTCAACAACAATGTCCCATAAATGCACCATATCTTCCGAAGTGAAGTATTGATCACCAAGATTCTGGCTGCGTGCGACCCCGACGAAAAAAACTCTTGAAGTCTGCCCCCCCCCCCCTAAGCAGTCAGGATTTTGGTTCCGAAGCTAAAGCGAAGAAAATGCCGTCGGAGCCAGCGAGATCTCTGTATTCCTCTCTCGGAAGGTGGAATCCATTGGCTTGCTCGGAGTCAAAGCAGCGGCAAAAAAAAAATATGGCTTACAAAGGAACCTCAGCAAAGATAAACAATGATAACTTATGTTCGGCAGTGCGCATGCTTGCTGGATGTAGCGTGCCAGCATAGTCTAATATGCATGGATACCCCGCATTGACGAGCCTGGTGATGACATGCTGCACAAAACATGCCCCCTCCGTCCCGCAAAATATCTCGAAGAAAGCCTTTCAAAAAGAGTCAGCCAATCATCACTCTTCTCAAGTCAGTCCCAGCAGCCCTTCATGGCCACGCAAGACATACTTCGAAAGACGATCTCTGGCTCTGACGCAATCCTAGGATTCGGGACGACAGCTCAAGTGCGTTCCTTGAGGCTGGAGCGATCGCACATATGTTTTCAAGGGCATCAACCTATTGGCTTGTGTGTTGTCGACTTTGCACACAAGTGCGGAAACAGGGGAATCCATCTCTGCATTGCACAACTCAGCCGGTCAATATCATCCGTCTTCACACTACAGTAGTTTTCTAAAGGCATGAAGCCTGACATCTCGGGTCCTTCTGAACATGTAAAGTGTGGCGCCCTCACGAGGCATAGTGCCGGCAGCCGGCCAAATCTGGAAAAAGTTTGCAAGGGTACTCCTTTGGCAAGCCTTGCCAAGTTTGCGCATAGAATCTGGCCCACAAGCAACCAACCGACCCTATGTTCTCTGCAAGCACAACAGCAAACAGCGGCCATTTCAACAAAGGGGATCTGCACAGGTCAACCTTCGGTTGGATCATATCAAAGCTATGATGCAATATCATATCTTACAAATAATTCATCGTGATATGTGATCATACGAGCTTCAGGGGGCAAGACTTATCCTCTTAGTGTGTGAACCGTTGCGGAGCGTTCTGCAACCAGCCGTGCGCCAACTGGCGCAATTCTCAATTCACGAGGGCCTCTCAGCTGAGCGTCGCCATTCCTGCCGGGCTTGCGTTTGCATTCTTTCCCGCGAGACACAGTGGATGTCCGCAAGTGAAAAAACCAACTGTCATTCTTGCATGTGGGATGCCCACGCCAGACACATCGCCTTGTCGCTCCAACTTACACTTCAATGCTGCTTGGAATCGGTGCCAGCAGGAGGATCAGCACAAGGTCGGCTCCGTCCGAAGAAAGAAGCTCTTGCTGTACATCCAATCTTGAAAAGTCTAAACAAGATGCAAAATGTTCTTCAAGACGTTGCCAGATTGAAACCGCGCCGACCAGCCTCGGCAGCTTGCCAGTCGATGCTGCCGTCCAAATGCTTGGGAAGCCATAGAAGGAGCCTGGAGAACACCACAGCCACAAACAGTTTCTAGCTCAGCATCGATTGTTTGCTCGTATCGAAAACGGCCGCTTGAACTTCAGGAACTTAGGACAATGCAACCAAGGAAAGCGTTGGTCTTATGCGGGAAAACTCACTCGCCAAGCAACTAACCATCAAACCACCAAGGCATCATAACCTTAGCAACTGGGCACCTAA